ACTGAAATGGAGGATTAATTGTCAGGGCACACCTGCAGCTGGAGCATGCGTCAGCCCCAAGGGGCTGCTGAGTTAGAAGAACTCAGCCATTCAAGTTGGAAAATGAGCATTCTTGTACAGTCCAGCGCTAATGTCCAAGCAGGAAATAGAAATGAACTTTGGAATAAAAGTCAACAATTGCAAATGAATAAAAATGGGAGCAATGCTACCAGAGCCCTTCATTCTGGTGATGTCATGGTTCCCAAATGCCCTTCAGAAATGCAAATTGCATACAATGTAATAAAAAGGGCATTTTCTAGAGTGTGCAGAGCTTGCATAGTTTAATTAAGCATAAACTAGGGTGACTCTGGAAAGGAAAATGATGTGGATTGCATTCTCTGAGTGACCTTGGAAAGGCACTTCAATACTTTCTCTACACAGCAATTAAGTAAACTCACACTTCATATGCTGTCACTCCTATTCCTTTCCTTTATTTAGAAATGTATTTTCTGTTCTCCCCGATTCCCTGATCTCACATTGATTTATCTCTGTGCTTAGAAAATGTGATTTGTTCCCCTCAGGGTAACTAAACATTTGCCTACAGCCTCCCCATCTCTGGTTTTCTAATCTCTACTTCAATATTACTTATATTAAACTTCTGGCACCTGCTTTCCTTGTTTTCCACCAAACTCCATCGAGGCTACCTCCTTTACATGGCAAAACTGGAATAAGGAGATGCCTATAGAAATGTCTTGTTCAGTCTTCCCAAGACCAACCTAGTGGCCTTCTATGATGGAGTGACTACATCAGCACACAAGGTAAGAGCTACAGATGTCATCTCTCTGGACTTCTGTAAGGCCTTTTGACACAGTCCCTCACAACATCCTTCTCTCTAAATTGGAGAGATGTGGATTTGATGGATGGACTGTCTGGTGGATAAGGAATGGGTTGGATGGTCTCCTCCAGAGGGTAGTGGTCAATGGCTCAATGTCCAGATGGAGACAAGTGGTGTCTCTCAGGGGTCCATATTAGGACCAGTACTGTTTAGTATCTTCACCAGTGACTTAGTGGGATCAAGTACACCTTCAGCAAGTCTGCAGATGACACCAAGCTGAGTGGTGTGGTTGACTCACCTGAGGGATACAGTGCCAGTGAAGATCAGTTTAGAAGCCCATTAGATCACCTAGCCAGCAGTTTGTTAAAAAGGAGGCTGGACTGTATTGGGAATGCAAGAGGGGTTAAGGGGCTGGCTTCTAGATGGTAGGAAAGCCCCAGTGTTAACAGTTCAGCTCCCTTTCTTCTGGGTTAGGGTGTGAAAAAGCAAGTCTTCAGTAATTCCTGTCTCTGAGCATTGCTGCCAAGAGGGAGCAGTGGCAGCAGCTCAGGAGTGAATGGGAATTAGAGGGGAGAAGTGGGACTCTTACAGCGGTTTCTTACACATGTGCCTTCAGCTTCACCTTTCAAAAAGACCTTACTCTGTCTTCCCCTTGAAATTTGCAGAGCAGTGACCATCCCCACATTGCTCTTTGGGATGCTTTTCCCTTTGTCTCTTGCTGTGACTTTCAAGGAGGAACGGAAACTTTCTGAGGATGAAGGTGATAACAGGTGGAAAAACATGTTCACCTAGCAAGGGCAAAGAGCCAGGAGAGGGCAGGTGGGGGAAATGCTGTTGATTTGAAGCTGTGATGGAGTTTCAGTGAACCACACCACAAGGGCTGCTGACTCATAAAATGGTGGAATACCTAAAAGGAAAGCAATGATCCCTGAGCAATTGCATCCCATTATGGTATGTCAGACATGTCTTTGATTGCACAAGCTTATAATTAGTTACAGAGATTTGTCCTATTTCTGAAGAAAGAAGAGGAAGCAAAATGAATTATTCCCTGTGTTAGTGACTAGCAGGATCAACGGATAATGCTTAAGGGTTGCTTTAAATAAAATGTATTCACGATTGATGTTTATTTTTGCAATTTCAGAGTAAATGCCAATGATTCAGTAAAATTTAATAAATCTTAAAGAGATCCCACTGCAAAGATCTGAAAATCTAGGAACTGATTTTAGGGCTTGGCTCCTAACCAACTCTGCGTGTAAGAAACCCACTGGAGCATCTTAAGTATCTTTTGAAATTTATTTTGAAAGTTAAGATCTCTTGGTTTTGTGGAGAGAAAGAAACAACTGAGTTTAATGCGAACCGAAAATCGCAGTAATAGCTGCATTACATACCTGCTAACACTAGATGGGGTGCAAGGAAAGAGTGAAGGGGAAAGCCAGGGAACGGCAAACCTTTGAGGTCCAATATACCTCAGGCACAGAAACTGAATTTAAGCTTAGCAGAGCTTCATCCACGTTTTCAAAAGCCAAAACCAATCGTAAATAGACAAGGACCCATTCACCCACCTTGTCCAGCCCTCTGGAAGTGTGGATCTTCACCGCATGGGTATTTTAACACTCACAGCACACCGCTATTAGTTTCATTAGCTACATTTTATTCATATATTGAAAGAGTACATACACGTGTCAGTAGCATTGACTGCATCAGCTCTTCTTTACTAAAAAAAGCTCAATGTATATACAGCCTTAAAAAGCTCCCACTGTAGCTATCACATTGTATTAAATCTATGCTTATATAAACTACTCTTCTTTACATAGTTGCATGTATTTTAGAATGCCTTAAAAATTACCAGGTGGCATGTTCTTTTATCCTTTCTCACTGTTCTTATGGTCTAACAGTTTCAATAAATTACGTATATGCATAGTTAACTTACTATTCAAACCAATTTCTATTATAGAATATAGGGCATGGAGACAAAACCATTGTTGCATTTGGAAAGGCAGAAAGTATTCTTGATGCTTAGTGATTTCTGTTGTTATGGTTGCATCCTGCACCTTTCCTTGGGAGCAGGAAGCACAGAACATGTTTTCTGAGCCCCTGCCTTTGTTTAATCCTGTGAAACGCAGAACCCCTTCTGCATCAGCTGGCGCTTTTCACCCTCCCTCTTGGCTGCTTTGGCCTCCTGCACTAACTCAGCAGAACAGGAGTGGCAGTGCCTGACTCCAGGCTCCTCCTGAAGCCAGGAGAGATGCTGAGCTGGCCTTTCTGGCCAACCAACTCAGCTACTCAGCAGAAGTGGCAGCCTCCCACAGAATTCATTTCCCTCGCTTTCTTTTTCTGGTCCCATGTGAATGAGCTGGACTCCTGCAGATCACTCTATCCTCTTTATTAAGCCTGTCTCTGCGGAGACCATTTTAATTTAATTCAAGTTGATAGCCAAGCCTCAAAATCCCCTTGGCTCTTGCAACAGTACAATCTCCTGGTATTTGATACACAAGCCCTTTTCCACCATCCTCTTGCTTCCCTTCAAGTAAAAATTGCCAGGATCCTGTTTCTCTAAACTAGCTTTTTAGCTCTTCCTGATGCCCCTTGCTGAAGGCATGCTACCCACAGAGAGCCCTAAAAGAAAGTGCTGGCATGCTGAGAAATGCCCCTCCTCATCAGAACATCTGACTCTATTCAGACATGCATGCTCAACACAAAAGCAGTAACGAATTCTTCCCGCGACACAGGTTGAAAAAACACTGCTTGCCAGGCATACCCACTTCAAAAAGTAAACTGGGAACAGGGTAAGAAATCTCATTCACTGGCAAACATATGATTCATCCCTGTTTTGTTGGATTTGTTAGCTTAATCCTAGGAGAGGTATTGCTAAAACCTACTTCAGAGGCTTAGTTTACATCTACTGCTCTGACTGAACCACCAGGGCTGAAACCACATTGGGATTCGGAGGCCAGTGCTCAGTACTTCAGATGGCTGGATGGGCTAAATTGCCAATGTAATAAAAAGTAAAACCAAGATGAGCATCTCTATAGGGAAAACCCAAAGATGCCATTTAAAAACAGAATAAAATGAGTTGGGTCTGACAGACCAGTAATAATTTTATTTCACAGGAATGAGGCAAAAGTTGGGGAAGGCATGTTGGATGTTGGAGAGCCTATCAGAACATCTCTATTTGTAATAATAAGCCATGTTTCACATGTCCAAGGAAAAAATGTAAAGCTCACTCAGCATAGAGATAGTTGTGAGTATGAAGGAATAAAGGGCGGTTTCTTTTGCTCTGCCTGCTTTATGCAAAGCCTTCCTACTTATCCAAGGCATCAATTCAGCAGCAAGACATGGTAAAACAATCTAGTATGCTAAGTGGTATGAAAACTCAAAGAAACACACTGTAGGTGAACAAACAAGGGCTCTGATACACAGTTTTGTTGGGTAAGAATGGTAGAGAGCCCTTCAAGGAAAACAGTCACTTGCTGTTACCCTGACAGAGGCTCTGTGTGCCAAGACTGCCCTGTTTAGGATGACTGAATGCCTTAGTCTGTATCCACCCAAAACACCAATATGGCACAGTGTGTTTACATTCTCCAGTTTAACGTTCAGTGGGTTGGCAACCTCCAGCCTGGAGCCACCAAGAGGAAAGTCTTTCTTGGAGGCAAGGATAGCTCTAGACTGAAACAGTTCCTGCTGCCTTGGTTTCAAAAGACTCAGCGATACTGAAGTCATACCTAGATGTCAGCCAGGAGGATTCCCCCAGTACACAAGTATTGCTTGTGAGTTGTTCTGGGGGAGCACTGGAGAGTAAATCATCTCACTGCATGCAGACGAGCTACAGCATGGAGTGCATGAATGTAGATGTGTGCTTCAGGCTAAGCTTCAGCTGTGCTTTCTAGACTGAGAGATCACAACATACTTATTAAAACACCCCAGAATCTACCGGGATCATCAGAAAAAGCATGAATTAGGGCAAAATGACATGGATTTCTGGAATACCCATTAAAACAGAAAGCGGATGGAGTTTGTAGTTCATTCATTCATGGCACCATGCAGACCTGTTATTTTCTATCTATGTTAAGATTTTACAGTCCAGAAGTGACAAACTCTTCCTTTCCTAGCTACCCAGTTATTGTGGGCTGAGCTACTTATTATACATTTGTTGCTGAAATAGTGAATAATGGAAGAAAAATAGCAATAGATTTTTACTTGCCCTTTAATCTACAATGATTTAAAATGATGCCTCAGACTTGCTATAACCACAAAAACTGATTTTGAAGATAGACCTCAAGAAACCAAAATAAAGTGTATTCTGGAACGTTACTGTTTGCTTCTGCAGTTCATCAGCAATCATGAAGAACTGGCTCTAGTCTTAAAATCATTACTAACATGCTTGCTTAAGAGTCACGATAATTTCTATGCTTTGTATGGGTCAGTCTCCATTTCTTTATGAGATGTTCAGTTCAAGGTAGTTTTCTGGGTAAAATGGAGTCCATCATCTTAGATGTCAACATTAATCCTGACACACTGCACTCTCCTCTGAATGACTGCAGATTGCAAAATGTCTTTGAAAAAGGACAGAACAAACATGTCATGCAGTAACCAAGTAAATGCAATCCCTGATTAATACGCAAGTTTGAGAAGTTCAGAAAATGTCATCACACTCCATAGGTGCACCCTGATTTTGGAAATGTCTCTGTTGTTTTGTCTGTGTATAAATGTCATTGCACATGAAATTCACTCCATCAGCTTTTCATAAACTCAAGTCAATGGTGATGTGTTCAAATATTTGAGTGTTTCCTTTAAAACTAGAGGCAAAGAAAAAATCTCTTCGATCTGTTGACACAGCTGTGAAACACCGTGGTGCTTGCACATAGATTTCCTTAAATAATCTGAAAATCTTCTTTTCACCATCCCACTGGTAAATCTGGGAGAAGGTATAGTCACTTCCCAAAGCTAGGTAGTAATTGTTCTTGAAGGAGAAAGGCTGCAGTGTCATGGCTCCTCGGGATGGAAGAGCCTGTATCTCCACAAACTGCTTGCTATTCCATTTCATAACTCTGGAGTCACCAATGAATCTCGTGAGTGTGATGTACAGATTATCCTGCATCCTGAAACTCTTCACAGCCAAGACATCTTCCATGTTGGGGATTTCACTGTGTGGAACAAACTTTTTGGAAGCTTTGTTCCACTGGAGTATAATGGGAACCTGAGAACGGCTAGAGAGGATTAGATGTGATTTCCCATCTATATCGAGAAACTCAGCATCAGTGTCCCTGAACCACTCGTGAAGGGACTGGTATGAGTAAAATCCTTTGTTATTCCACTTGTACACTGTTGACAAACCCGCTTTAGAGCTATCTGCTATGACGAAAAACATTTCACTGTCTATCTCAAAAAGCTCTATATCATTGGGCTTGGAAATGCGAGATACTTCAATATCCTGGAATTTGACAAACTTTGTCCAGCTTTCATCATACTTGTAAATGTGTGAGCCACCAAAGAGCTGTGCCACCACCACAAACACTTGGTCACCAACAAGAATGGCTTTACATCCCACTATGGACTGACCTATTGCCGAAAGAAAAAAGAAAGCACATACATTAGCACAGTACAAAGCACCCTTTAAACCACAGAGAGATTACCACATCACCCCTCTGCCTTTTTATATCTGCACCATCTGATTATTTTCTCTTCTGCTACATGCCATCAGAGCTTCTTTTCATGCTTTTTTTCTCCCTAGGAACTGGAAAGGTGACTTCAAATATTGAAAATGTCACAGCCCTCAAGGTGTGCAAGTAGGATGCACCCTAAAATGATAATTCATTTTTATCCAGAATACCTTTTCTTTCTCTGTTTGTTCAAACACATGCACCCTAATATTCAAAACAATTACTAAGCCTGAATTTTGTTATTCCAAAATAACAAGAGTTCTTATCTCATGACTCAGCAGGAATGGGAAATTCTCTTATTCCTGGAATGTCTATCTTTCCAGCTTAACCAGAAGAATGAACTACAGTCTAATTTTCTTGCTCTAAGAGGGCCAGAGTCAGCTTTTTTCTACTGTAAATAGAAATATTGATGCATCTCATGGATATATCACCTGACAATGGGATGAAAAAGATAAATCTGACTCTTGTTTCTATTAAGTATTCTTGAGATTATGTTAAACTAGAAATATTTAGGAATATTGTGATTGCCAGATTAGATCAGATCAGGTTATGGTCTACCTTGAGAATGTCAAGTCACTGCACAAGAACCACACCAAAACAGTAACAAACACAGCCAGCCTGGGATGATCTACCACCTGCCCAGTGTAGGAGAAGTGGGATCCATCTCAAGTACTGTAAGGTATCTGCAGCATCGACTTGAATGGCTGAGCTGATCATCAAGGCTCTTTCTGGTATAACTTAATCAAAAAGTACTCCAGAGGATATTTCACCTGGCCTGTATATGTCCTCCTTTTGAGGAGGACAGCAACACCTATAATCTGCATATTGACTATGAAGGCAATCTTGACAACTAGCTCAACTCTATAAGCTCATGTCGTAAAAGGCTAAATTCAGGTATCCGAATGCCAAGCATACGTTTACAACACCTATCTGGCTCTTGAGCTCTACAAAACACTCTTTAGGCTCTGCGAGAGGCTCTTCATATGTTCGTGTCCCCCAGCAAAAGTCTCACTCGCATTTCATAGTCCAGAGCTCAAGCTCAGATCTTCTAAGAACACAGGATGGGTGTTCAAGAAGCAAGTCTGGGCGTGCACACTGGGTGTGGAGCTAGGACACAGGTGGCCAGCAGAAGTGTCTCCTAATCACATTATTCACAGGAAGGTGACTGGAAGACAACTTGGAAATGACCCAAACTCTCTCTTTCATTTCCAGAGCTTTTCTACAGCTCTGTTAGCTCTCTCTGGGCCACCAACTTCTCAGCTTTCATTCACTGGTCCGTATTTCCCCCTAATCTACCAAACACAGTGAAACAAAAAAGGCAAAATTTTAATTTCCAGTATTTCCTGAAGGAGGGGTAGCATCTTGTAAACTTTCACTAGTGACACACAACTGACCTGAGGAGGTAGGTGCTTGCTGCCTTTGTAGACCACATGGGGATGCAGCTTACTCTTTGTTTCCCAAAATGGAAGGTAAAAAATAATTACACATAACAAGGAACATGTGGGAAGGAGAGTCCACTGGGAAATTTAGCTCCTGAGTCTCCAGAACCAATAGCCTGAAGTAGCTGGGAAATCGGGCATTGTGTGTAACAGCTCTAAAGACTCTGTCCCTGCTGTCATGGTGTGACTGAGCACCATGAGTGTCGATTAGGGACAGAACGGCTGTTAGCATTAGAAAATCACCCGGCATCCACATGCATTTTTTGTTTGATGAGTAATGTGGCCACGATGCTAATTCAGCATGTTTGTAAATGGAAAGTTAACATGAAAGCTTTACAGCACATCTCTCTAGTTAACAAGCAGTTTAAGTATTTCTGTGTCATCTTCAGCTGTAAAACATGCTTTCCTGGCCAGCCCATCCTAAAAGCATCCTTCAGACCTACTTCCTTCTACATGCAGTAGACTATTTTTATATTCTACTTTGTAGGCACTTTAGCAAGAGCAAGGGCTCCCTCAGCTTGCACTGTAACCCGCAGTGTGATTCAGGCAGTGAGTGCGAAGCCAGGCCACAGAGTGACATTCACAGCAAGTGTTTGTGCCTTCAGAACCATTTACAAGATCAGACAAAAACCACCTAGTTTGCGTGCCACAGCGAAGTTAAGCGTGCATGTATTAACAAGATGAACTACTCCATGAGGTCACTGATGTCCAAACATTACATGCTTTGATCTGCCAAATTCAACAAAGATTCAGAACAAAAACCATCAACTGGTCCCATCTATGAATCTTGTCCTTGTGAAATGCCAACAGTTCATTAACAATGGGAATCCAGATGTTCATATACCTGTGATGTTGTCATAACTCCTGAAATTCATTTCAATGTGATCCCACTCCAGCACCATGCAGTTCTCCATGCTGGGCTGTGCAATGGCTACGAACACATCATTCTTTGAGTTGAATGTATCCACTGAAACTGATTGGTAGGGCAAAATCTGGTGAACAACAAAATCTAGAAACATACATTTTCAAAAGTTAGGATACATCTTTACTGGAAACACAAAGTGATCACTGATTATAACGATTTACACTGAAAAATCAGCAAAACAGTCTGGATTTTGTGTAACACTAGCATGGAAGTGTCAGTGCTCACATGAGGCATGCAGCAACAGGGGAAAGTGTCTCCTGCTTTAGGCATCATAAATTGTCCTCCCTGAAAATATAGTTGCAAAGGACATCAAATTGGTAAACAGTGGCAGAAATCAGATTTTCCATCTAAGCTGGCTGGTATTAATGAAATTAGGGTATTGAGAGAGAAGTCTCTTTCCCCACAGCTGGAAGGTGCTTTCCCGTCAAGTGAAATGGCCTTGCTTGAATCACTGTCAAGCTGAGAGACAGCAACTTCCAGCTGAAGTCCAATAACTTCTTAAGTCATGTCAATTTAATCACTAGCAATTTGTGTTATGCTAAACCAGGCAGAAAGTGAAATGGTATCTTAAGTTTGCCTGGGGATAACCCCATTTTGGCTAGACCACAGACAAAATGGAGTAATCAAAAACTCAGTTAACAGAACGTTTTATGGGGCATTGTAACTTAGTTGAGGCATAAAATACAATTAACCTGCAAATTACTATCCTGTAGCAAACTTACACTAGACATTAAGACTGAGGAGTTGGAGTAACTTGTACAGACTAAGAGTGTAACTCAAAAACTTAAGATTTTTTTCTCAAAATCTAAGTGCATTTGTAGATTTAACTCTAAACTTCGCCCAGGGCTAAGTCAGCAGTCAGCACAGAGCCAGTCTGGAGCAAAGTGAGGAGACCTGGGTCTGATCTTTGGCCTGACAGCTGGGGAAGGTCATTATTATCAGAAAAAGAAAGCGGTATAGCAGAGCTGACAAAAAAAAGCCAGCACTTTGGTCTAGAATGTGGCAGAAGTGATGTATGGATACAGATATGTAGAAAAGGAAATGCATCTTTGCTCCGATGGTGTTTCTCTGCAGAGCGACCCACTGCTGTTTCGAGCTCCGTTTGCTACATGTTTTCACCATGCAGTCCTATGCTGGAAGGGCCTGAGCATCCAGGGATTTTGGTGAAATGGTAATTAAGTCCTCACTCGAGTCCCTCATTTTGATGCATTATGGAATAATTGCTTTTGAATGAAGAACCCTCTGTCTCTGCATGCTTGAAAGCCTTGCCCTTGAGGAGCTACACTTTTGGAGAATAAAGATAGATGACTGCCATTAAACAAACAGAGCAGATTCTACAGCTGCGAAAGAAATCACAGACTCCATTCTTCGAGGGACTATCATAAATAGAGTTTGGGCTTGATTCATAAATGCTGGTAGGAGAACAAGAAAGTTGTCTTCATACTCACTGGGAAAAATAAAAGAACTGGAGAAAGCTGACACTGAAGTATGCAGAAAGTAAAAGTAAGTGATAAATCAGGGAAGGCAGCTAAGGATGGAACAATAGCAGTCACTCAGAACAATACAGTCACTCAGAATCAAAATATTTTAAAAATCTTGAAAAAAAACCCAAGCCAAAACAAAACAAAAGAAAACCCCAAACCGCTAATCCTGAAAAAGACATCTCTTGAAATCTGAACAGTTGTGAAACACTCTGAGGGAATCTGTGAATTAAAACAAACCAGTCTGTGTGTTGATACCCACTGCTCATTCAGAAATGATTTAGTGTTAACACAGCTATTTTTACTTGCACCTGTCATTTGGCTCTTTATATCACTGGATGAGTAAAAATGGCTAACAAAATCACTCATCATCAGTAAAAAGCAATAAATGTTGGTTTTAGCACCAGCTGGAAATATGAGACTCTAATGTACAACAGAGTTACACAGTAAAGAGATGCTGCCACATCAGGATTGCCAGAAATTCATGTCCTGGAGGCTTGACTTAGTTTTACAGGCAGGTTCACATACCTTGCTTTAATTCTAAAGAAGAGCTTGTACAGTAAATATGGTGTGTGTGCATGGAGGGGGTCTCCCAACATTGTTCTCTTTGAAGCTAGATCAGCATGCACAGGAGAGGGAAGAGGAGGCAGCCTTTGCTTCCCCTGTGCTGCTGGCCGCCCAGTCTGTTGCCCTCTCCTTCTAACCCCAATGCATGATTTTACTCCCCCTGTCATGCTTTTAACACTGCTTTCTGCTGGCTGGGAGCTGGGGTGGTGTGTCCCCTAATCCTCCAGCCACCAACTGCCTCTGCTGCTGAACTGGCATTAGCCATCATGGATGAGGGACCCAGCTCTCTTGTTGCTGGGCTGATTTCCCTTCCACCACTCTGGCTGATCCCAACACACAGGAGTGCTGATGCTGGCAGAGCAGAGGTGGAGAGCACAGAGAATGCTGGAGGACGCTAAAGAGAAAGGGGAGCAATGATCTGTTTGGGCAGCAGCTCCTAAACTGCACCCAATGACTTGGTCCCCCTCTCCTCACATCCTTTGTTCCCCACGGCAGAGACTTCTACCAGGACCTGGGTGTGCTGTCAGGGAGCATTAGCCATCCATTCCCATCTCCCACCACAGCAGCACAGGTGATCTCGCACAGGAGTGAGTACAGTGCAGATAACTCTTAATTTGCAAACTACCTTCCTTCCAGTCCGTGGGGAAAGAGAGAAGACAATCCCAGCTAGGTAAAAAAAGGGGAAACCAAGATGATCCCTGCCTGCAGGCGTGGGCAAAGCAGGTCCCAGGCATGCACACACCCTGTTCTCAGGGAGCATGAGGCCCACTTCCCAGCCTCCTGAACATAAGTTACATGTCCCCCACTGTGCTTATAGCCACAGCACAGCCCCCTCGCACACTGCTATGGGACAACAACAAGAAATGAAATGAAACAGCTTGACCTGCTTCCATGATGTAAGCCGTGAGACAGGGGAAAGAGAGATGCTATCACAAAAAGAGTTACAAGGGCAGATCACCAGCACTGTGAATTGCTTTCTCTTTGAAGAAGCAATAGGAGCATTTTGTTCTTTGTCTTGTTTTGATTTGTTTTTTATTTGGCAGCACCTCTTTCCATTTCTCCTCCTGTTACCATTGTACCAGTTCAGTGGATGCAATGAACCAATGAAGCCAATGAGATGCATGTTTTACCAAGCAAATGGCTTTGTTACCATATCCTACAACCAGTCATACTCGACACAGGTACCAGAGATCAGAAATAATGGAAAGTCTCATCACATCTGGCAAAGGAGGGAAATACAATACTGAAGACTCACATGAATGAAAGAGGTTTGCAGAGCACTGCTCGTCATCGACTGGGAAAGGAGACTACACACAGAATATCATACAAGCCTGCGCCTGTGACTAATCAGTCCACAAGGAATGAATACAGATATATTTATGATCCCTTTGGATCTGGGGAAAGCAAAGGCAGAGAAGGCAAAAGCAGCTGTGGCCTGACATTGCAGACCACCAAGGACACCAGAGGGTTATAGCCTGAGCAAGGTAACTTCCAGTTCAGTGCAGCGGACATGACACTGGCTCAAACATGACACATTCCTGAAGATCTGCATTTCTGCTCTACTGATCTGTTTTGTCTTTTACAGGTACTTCCTGCATGTAGCTCTTGGCACTTTGTAAGGATGCCAGAGATCCACGTCTTCCACACCCTCCACCTTCGCTATGCACTGGAGCTCTGGGAAGCCTACTGCTGCCCGCCCCCAGGCCAGAGGGGTTTAGCACACAGCCTTCGCAGAGAATGACTGGTCTGAAAATGCCCTCTGCTATCTGAAGAATGTATTACAGCTACATGCTGTGCTGCAAGAGCACTCCTCTGATGGCATCTGAACAAACACTCAGCTCATTGCACCACGTTAATGCCTTAGCTCCCCAGCAAACTACAGCATGTGAAATTACATTCATGCTTTGAGTAATTTCACCTACAGCAGACCAAAGAACTAACATTAAGGGTGAATTTTGCCTGTTGCAACCTCATAGTTAGGTTCCTAGGTACAAAGAGATGACAGGGGCAGGTAGGTCAGTATAGGTGTGAGGACTAGGTAGGTAAGGCTTGCTCATCTGCACTGTTAGTGCTGTGCAATTACTTAAACCAGACTGCAATGAAATAAAGTGACTTTTACTTTGTACTTTGGCATCTCAGTGACTTGGCAGACACAGGAAGGTAACTTAGGTACCATTCTAAGCTACACTGCTCTCCTGGTTTTGACATCCTTTATGTAGCAGATTACCATGCTTTATGCCTGCTACTCTTCTGATGTATTTCCCTTACATATTGCCCTTGGATTACCATTCCCTGTCATGAAACTTCATTCTACATTACTAGTAATCAACTTTCCTATTGTCTTTTAATAGCAATGATTTGATGACATGAGAACTTGAATGCCTCTGGTATTACTGTACAGAAAAAAGGCAGAGTGCTGACATCATATACATGAAAGATGAAAAACAATACTTGCAGCTGATATACTCAGTTATATGATGTGACTACATTTAAAGATAGGTAACTGCAGCTGTTCAGTCATAAAACATGAGCATAACCACATGCAAGTTTCTCTTCACTTCCTTTAGCATGCTTTACATTACCTAAAATAAAAATCAAGATCCTAAACAAGACAGTAGTGAGAATATTATTGGACATTTCCCCTAACTTAATGGAGTTCCATGAAGAACAGTTGGCAGTATTGCCACCACTTTTGATGCTATTAAATCGTGGCCTATTGAATAAAGATAACAGATATAGCCACATTATTTACACTTCTTTTCATTGCTTTCTATGAAATACAGAGATTTTGGGAAGTTCATATGCCATAACTATATGGCCTTATTCCAGATAATAGAAAGCATTCTGTGATGAAAAGTCGCAAAGGGAGTCATAATCAAGTCTTTTGGAATATGAATAGTCAGAGCTCTTCTTCCATTATCATTTAAGCCAAATAAAAAAATCAGTACTTACTTTGACTTTGAAATGTAATTTTCCCATTTTATGCTTGTTCTTGTACTTGGTAGTGCTTTGTATGTAACCCTTTCCTCCCCCAAGGTCATGCTCACAGAAGCAAAAAGGTATAGTCTAAACTTCTGATATTTAACCATTTGTAGTGTGCTTAGAAATATACATTCTGAATACCTGTAGTGGTGCATTCATAATCAAAACTTGTCACATCATTTAACTTCTTATCCTGATATTCTGCTGGACCAATACACAGGACATCAGAAACAGTGGAATTTGTCATCTTTAACCACAAAAACAACCACTTCGCTTTGCAGTCACACTCAAATTTATTTCCCCTTAAATCTCTAAAAAAACACACAGAAATAAACATATTTGAAAATGTTGATAGCAATATGAATACTACAGAACTGTTATCACCTTGACATGCTGAATTTAAAAATACCTGAGTAGCCTTGAATTGTTTCTGAACTCTAAGAACAGGGAACTTGCTTCAGTTTTATTTGGACTCTCTTACTATGAACTCTCCTTCACTAAGTGTTGTCCTTGGAAAGACTGTTTCTATCCAGGAAATATGCTCACATATAATCACAGTAATGTGTGATTCATGTGTAAAGTCACTCACATTTATAAATTTTCATAGGATTAGGACTGTAGTGTAATAAATCCCGAAAGCCTGGTCGTCTGCTGCAAGCCTCCTTCCCTCTATCTACTGCTGACACTGATAAATCCCATTCCTTCACTAAACTACTCCAGTACCGCTGGTTGACAGAGTGGCCTTGCTGGCACCATTTCTGTGTTACATTAAAATACAGATGTAAGGCTTGTATTTTTTGAGTCGCTGCTGATGTGTGATCAATTTAACCTCCCCCTACTAATGTATGTGCAATTTCAGCACTGTACTTGTTCTTCGATCTCCTGGCAGTTTTTGTTGTTTACAATTATACTTTGCCATCTGGGAGAGCTAGGCCAAAAATAGGGGAAGCTGACTATCAGCTCAATTATACAAGACAACACGGACAGTAAGTCAACAATGTGCCACAACTACATAAAAACAAGAAAACAGGTGGCTTTTTAAAATGAAGGCCTTTCACTAATATAATCTCAGGGGATGCATGCACAATAACAGGGAAAACTGTTCAGAGAAATTGTAGTTTTAAAATTTGTTGTCTCCCTTTCCCTAAAACACAATTTATATGAAACATCAAAAAGAAGTACAGTAATGCAAGCTATGTACGTCAGCATGAGGAACAAGAGTGATTTGAGAAACAGCAGTTATTTTAGAAGAGTCTAGCAAGTAAACAATTTTAAAATTAGGAAAGCTGGCACAACAAAAGGCACACTTCTTTCATGTGCAGATATCAGGTACAGCACCACATAAACCCAAAATGTAAAACTCAAGAGTAACAGAGTGACAGAATTAGGCAGCCAGTAGAAAGATTCTCATTACTTACAGTTCAATTAAAGAATCTAAATCACTGAAGACATCCCTCGGCAGAGCTTTGAGATGGTTATTGGCCAAAGAACTAGGAAAGAAAGTTAGAGCTTAGTACCATTGCTGTCTGTTGTCTGGCTGACTCATTAAGTCTGAGCTCACCTACAGTTGTCAGAACTGTCCAGCCTCTGGCATTGTTAATAGTTATAAGGAACAGGCACATACTAATTATTCTTATTCAAAAATGGAGATTGCTTGAAGATCATGTAAAAGTAAAATACAAAGAACTTTTTTACTGCCCAGGTGCAAATACAACACACAGAGCAATCACTGAGCATGCTGAAGAACCAGGACCAATAATCACTAGTACACGGTGTGATGGTGGTAGCAGTTCAGCATCCGTGGGCAGCAGCTGCATCTCAGCACAAGCTGTGAGTGTGCACAAGCAGCCCAACACGCCACAGGGCTGCCTCAGCAGGAGTTCTTTTAAGGCCAGTTTTTAACTTGAGGGAGGCATGCTGCTGACAGCAGGAGGAAGCTGATGCATGGAGGGGAAGAGAAGTTTTCTCTGTAGCAGAAAAACCAGTGGTCCCCCCAAAGAGTTTTGTTTGAGCAGAAATTACCAAGTGTTAAATAACTTACAGGTGAGTCAGGTCTCGAAGGCCACGAAAAGCGTTTCTTGAAATGGTTTCAATTTTATTTCCTTCAATGAATCTAGAAAAACAAAAAAAAAAAATCTTTTAAAATACTTTATTATTAGCATCACCAGTGCTTTAAGCTATGGCCTCCAAATTCAGCAGTGGCAGCCCCTTCAGACTTAAAGGTGGAGAAGTCTCAGTGGAGCTTGTTTTCCCTTTACCGCTTTCCTTGGGTGGACTGCAAGGAACGATTAAAAGTACCAGGCAGCAAAAGGGACAGCAGCATGTGACACAAACATCCAGCAGAAGAGGAACAAACCAGACATAGCAAAAAACATTACTCCTCTGTTGGTTAATCCTCTCAGGGTATGTTGTGTGAGGCAAGAGACCTGTGGAGGGAGAGGTTTCTGAGGTGGCCTTTGAAAGCTGAGGTCCTGCATTCCTCTCACAAATCACCTGCACTGTAACACCACATGGCAGCACAGAAGTGCCAGGGCCGCCTGGGCTGAAAACAGACACTCTGATGGTCAGCTCTGTGGCTGCACGTACTGTCCCACCGGGGCACCCACAGAGCCGTCACATGAACCGTATACATACAAAGCCTGCGTAAATGGCAAGACCAGTGTCTTGTTCCTGCTGCTGCAGTTCAGCTCCCTCCAGCCAGGACACCACCTCTGCAGGGTGCCCACCTGCACACAAGCCACAGCCCCATGCACTGTGAATATAAATAATATATGAATATAAATAATAACTTAAATAATTGCAATAATGTATAGTATGTGAATGACAGGCACGTATCAATTCCCGGAGCATGCTGCTTCTCCTGACTGCATGTCAGCATTTAAAGAAAGCATTGATATTTGAGCATTTTGACCCCTGAGCACTTGAGGACACATCCCTAAATACATCATCAGCCCTGCAAAGCAATTGCAGCCAGGTGGCCATCAAGATATTGCATGGTACAGCAGTACCTGGATGAAGACAACTGCCTGCTGACTTTATAAAAGGTTTCACGAGATATAAATGTCTTACTTCTATACATCCTTGTTTGTCTTCCAGAGAAATAGAGGAAAAACGCTATGAGCCAAGGTCTCTTCAAAAGAGAGTCAAGATCGAGATGCCAAGTGCTCTTGGTTCTGCTGTTTAGATGTAGCCAAAATCCTTCATGAAGTGAATAGGACCCTGACTGCATGCAAAAGGTGCAGATAAGAAAGTGTTGTATCTACACAGGTGTCAAAAGAGGTTCAACTGTTCCAAGGCTGCCTGGGGACATGAATTCAAATCACAAAGCAGAGAGCCAAACTGCCTCCTGATATTCTCATCAGCACCTGGCATCCCTGCACAGTGCCAGCTCACCAGTCCGTGCAAATAAACACGGCTTCATTGCACACACTGCAGCAAGATGATGCAAATTTAGGCTGGGACTCAGTAATTTGACGGATTCCTGAGTCACCAAACCTGGCCTCAAAGGGATGCTACCCTGGGAATGCCACTCTGCTCAACAGCAAAACTACCATCTTTATCAGACCTGTCTTATCCAGACTGTACATGGAGCCAGATAATTTAAGGGTGCACTGAATGCCATTGTCAGTGCTGCAAGCTCAGCAGGACACAGCTGGAGGTATACTAACTATCTATCGTCTATCTATCTATCTATCTATCTATCTATCTATCTATCTAAGTATCTGCTGTGGGCACTCCCCAGCAGCTCTTTGTTTGGAGACTTAGCTTTGTACATAAAGAAACTTGTTATTCTTGTTTGTCAGAGAGGTTTTCTTATTCTCTGTAAGATCTGATCACTGGTAACTGAGAGACACGAGTTACAGAAGCTCTAATGCTGTTACTGACTCCATGGCCACAAAAGCCCAGAGAAAGGATACTTGCACCGGGTTCCCAAAAGGTGGAGGTGTGATTTGCTAGGAATAGGAAGCACTCTGTGGACTTGGCAGGGAGGGTGACCACAGCCATTAACTGAAGCCACTTGTTCAGCTGCTGCTTAAGGAAACTCAAACTGTAAGGCTTTAGCAGTCTTCATGCTGTTCCCTGGCTTGCAGCTGACAGCTAGGGAAAGAGACTGCCCTTTGACCAACTGAGGAGGGGCAGGACTTTCTTCTTTCAGACTGGGGTCTCTCTGCACTCACTAATGCAACTAGGACAGCCAAGTATGCTGCTGGGACAAGCTCATCAGCACTTGAAAGCAAGGAATTCATGAAATGACATTAAAATGGTTTTCTTCCTTTTTACAAAAATATAGAAAATTACTTTTTTCCCTGTAGACACATGGAAAAGAGAATGATTAGGGAGTTCACTGTCTCTGAAAAATCCTCTAAAATATCCGAATCATGGATTTTAGAATATACCATTTACCATTATCCTCTGTTTCTTGGCCTGCAAATTCCAGTGTTGGCTGCTTCACACATATCAGACTCATAAACTTGAATACATCCCACCTTAACACCTATTTGTCTGCACTCAGTTTTATGAGCATTGGTCTTCCTCTGGAAAGTACAGAAATGTTTTCCACAGCTACCTTTCAGCATGAAAAGGTGGGTGGAAAGAGGAATTTCTTTCAGATCATATTCCAAGTTTCAAACATACCAGCTCGTGTCCGGTAACACAGAGAAATGGCAGTCCTTTGGAGTATGAAGTGAGGACAACCTGGTACCAGGGATAATACTTTTTTAAAAATTAAAAAGGGTGACCTAAAAAAAAAAAAAAATGGGGAAATGAAGATACTGTAAAAATCAAGTAAGTGAACAAAGTAAAGGAGAGTTAAATGAATATAAATAATAACTTAAATAATTGCAATTATGTATATTATATGAAATATATATTTATATATTCATATTTATATTTATTTCTAACATAAAGATCAATGCCACGGGCATTAAATGGGATAGTAGAAAAAAGGTGAAGTTGGAAAAGAAAGAAAGCTGGGAGAAGAGAACGAGCCAGGCAATCAGGGCTGCTCTGGGCAGTACACAGATACCCTGTGACTCCTCTTCAGGCTGCCAGCAGGCCAGGAGAGGCTTTCCCACCTCTTTCCTCAGGTTCAAAGCCCCTCAACAGCAATGGCACTGTTCTGGAAAGCCAAGCCAATGCCTTTCAGTGTACTGTGATTGCCACCTTGCATTCATGGCTTACTCTAAAACTCCACTTGCAACCTCTGAGAAAGGGTGAGCCACTGTAAAGAACACTTGCACAGGAGCGGAACATAAATCCTTCATCCCCCCTGCTCCTGGGAATCACACTAAAGCCTAAGACTCCACAGCGGGAATCTTGGCAACTTATCAAAACATCTTGATTTATAAAGGACAGGGGAAGACATAAAATACCAGACTCACAGGTATTCTAGATGGAAGAGACCAGCAAAGGCGTCATCTCGTATAACAGTGAAGGCATTGGAGTTTAGCAAGCTGAAAATGGAGAGCAGGCATTAGGAAAGCACATTAAAACTTGACATGCTGGATTATGCCTGTTGTGTTTATTGCCCATGACCAAACTAATCTTACTGACTCAAGCCCATATTGCCCCACCAGTGTAGCACATATAAACCTCTGTGGAATGGCCTATTAAAAGAAAAAAACCAAACTAAAGGCATAATGCGATCCTAGTTAATGTCCACTGCTCCCCAGGAAAAATGCTCACTGTGCCATCCATCAGTTAAATGCAACCTGATCCTTGACAATCTGATGCCCTGAAAAGGACAAGAAATAGCAAAACTTCTTATTTGGTCTAAAAATCAAATGCTCCTCAAAAGAAGTCATTTTTGGAAAATCTCTGAATTTTCTAAGTGAATATGTCTACATTAATCACTTTATTAGAGAAACTTATTAATCCTCTTTTTGTCTGGTTTTAGGCATTTTACTAAAATTAATTTAGAAGACTAATGAACATGAAATGCAAACTTTCCCTGTGATCCTTGGTTATTATGCTAATGCTAGACAAATACTCGCTAAATTATCCCAAAGAAATCTGACAAGGATGCAGGCTGCCATTAAAAATAAATCCTTAATGTTACTCTTTTACCACAGCTACTGCCACAGAGGACACAGAAAGTACCCAAGTGATCAATTATGCATGTATCTCTTTTGCCATTTAACCATTCTTTTTTCTCGTGCTTGAAGGAAAGTCACAAATTACACCAACAAAATCTGTCAGGGCCCAAGGTGGTGGTGGTGGTGCCAAACCCTTGTGGCTCCCATGCCTGATCTACCGCATAAAGTGGCACTGGCAACTTCTGATTTTCTCAGCCTCTGCCGGACCACCCCACACAGCCCAATTCTCCTCCTGAATATCTGCTACAGCTAAGGAATAGGGGTAACCTTCATGTGCTCTTCCTCCCTCTTCCCAGTACCGCTACCCAAAACAAGCCAGATTCTCCTCATCTTGAGTTTTCCACCCATGGTTTCTCTCAGCCCACCCTTGGGTTCATCCCTTCCCAGCTGGCACAGGTCAGCTGGTTCCCCCCATTCCCCAGTGGGCAAAGTCCCTCTCCCCTCTTCCTGGGGCTCTGTGCTGGGCCCCAAGGCCCACAGGCACTTGGGTTTGGGACTGGTGCCACGCTAAAGAAGGTGCAAGTCTCCATTCCTTGCTCTGCCCACTTCTCCCCAGTGTTTCCCATGGGATGCTGCTCCTCCAGATAGTGAGACAGGCCTTTGAGTCAAACGAGGAGGGGTGCCCAAAGACAAACCATAACACTAGCAGAGGCCTTCAGGGACTACCTCTTGCTCAGACCAATTTTAACACCTAGCTCTGTGGTGAGAGCTTAGCCTGTGTGCCTCACATCTTTCTGCTTCAATTTTCTTTGCAGTGTCTTTTCTTAGGAAGGAAGCCGGTCCTTGATGCGGGAGGTATGGAGGGTCTGCCTGGTATTGGGCATCACAGGCAGGCTGAACTGGTCTACGCAGGGCACAAACAAAGCAACTAGCAGAGAAACAGGCACCCAGGCTCCCGAGGGGATTGTACCGCACTCTCTGCCTTTCCACTGCTGCCTTCTAGGACAGCTAAATTAAGGCAAGTTTGGGTGAGCTGCCTGAGCTGCAGGCACACACCTAACTGCAACAGGCACGAGCACGCGAGGTGCCCAAGGTCAGGAAGGAGGGAGCGCTGCAGAGTGCCGGAGCTGGACTGCTGGCCCCTGGGACAGAGGCCCACCAGGTCAGAAGGCATCCATTGGAGGGGCAACCCTCCAAGTTGGACACCGAAGCTCAGAGTCATGCTGCAGACACCACCAGCACTTCATGCACGGAGGCTTTGCACAAAGGCTTGCCTTCCTCCAAGGAGTGCCCCAGCAGCCTCTGCTCACCCCCGTAGCTCCCGCAAGGTCCCAAAGCCAACATGAGACTCCTGGGCACAAAGTGAGCTGGAGTGAGGCACCACATGAAAACTCAGCACTATAAACTTATTAAAGCTGGTGGCGTGGGAGGGTTTATATAACAGGGAACTTAGGGTATCATAAAACATTTTGTCCTCCTTCAGCAACTAAGCACACATTTTATGAAGTGGTTTATGAACGGAAAATGCATCCCTCTGTTATGAAGCAGCAGCTACACCACAGGATGCTGCACAAGCTGGGAATGTCCCCGTTACCCCCCGTTCCTCCAAGGGCACCCGTAACTCAGTTTAGGAGGCGCAAAGTGCTAGCTGGCCGCTGCCCTTTCCAGTGCCATACTTACAGCAGCTGCAGGGAGGGCAGGTGGGAAAACATCCTGTCCTTGACTTCGGCGAACGTCCCGTTTACCAGGCTCCTGTCAGGAGAGAAACCACCATGAAGCGGGACCGCCCCGCATCCAACACCGCCTCACCTCTCTCCCCGCTCCTTGCCCCGCACTCACAAGGACCCCAGGCCGGCGGGCAGCCCGCGGGGGGCCCCCGCTGCCCCGACGCACAGCGCCGACTCGCGCCAGCAGCTGCAGGGCGGCCCGCAGCGCGGCGGCCTGCGCGGAGCCCCGGGCAGCGGCAGCAGCAGCAGCAGCAGCACCGCGCAGAGCGGCAGCAGCCGCAGCGGCACCGCCATGCCCGCACCACCGGCACCGCCGCCGCCTCCCGCGCCCTGACATCAGCGCGGCGCCGCCCCGGGGCGGGCGGGGAAAGGGGGGTCCCGGGCCGGGCGGTGCGAGGGGCGGTGCGAGGCGGGGGACCGCGTCGCCCGCTGCCTCCAGACGGGGTGGGTGCGTGATGATGCCCCGCCGGGAGGCAGAGGGCGTCGCTGTCCCCCGGCCCTTGCTGTTGGTTGCGCGCTCAAGGCTAGGTCGGAGGGTGTAGTGAGGCTGGGGTCGGTCTCTTCCCCCAAGTAATAAGCAACAGGACGAGAGGTAACGGCTTCTACCTGCGCCAGGGTAGGTTTATATTGGATATTAGGAAAAAAATCTCCACCAAAAGGGTGCTCAGGCATTGGAACAGGCTGCCCAGGGCAGTGGTGGAATCACTGGCCCTGCAAGTGTTCAGAAACTGTGTGGATGAGGCCCTCAATGATACGGCTTAGTCGTGGACTTGGCAGTCCTGAGGTAATGAACTCTCTGGTTTTAAAGGCCTTTTCCAACCTGGTTGGTTGTATGATTCTAACTGTAGCAAGACCAACTCCAGGGATGTCCAGTCAAGAAAGAAGCAGATGGATGATAACACCGTAGAATTATAGTTGCTTTGCAGTTGTAATATGTGTATTAAGTAGTGATTGATCAAATCATAATGTATCTGAATGCTTGAAAGGTATCAGAGCTGTGTGTTCTGAAACCACATTCTGGTACCCCAATTTGTATGGGATGCATCATGTACATGAATTAAATAATCACTCTTTTAACTCTTTCCTTAGTGTCCGAGCTTCTTCCCTTGGTCCACATGGGCCAGTTGCAAGGATTTTGTGGCAATTTCTGCTGTTCATTTTGTGTTTGCAACCTCTCACCATTGACCACACTGCCCCAGGACAGTCTCCCGCCAGGTTGTTGAAAACAGCAGGGAGACTCCTCTTCTGTGTGCTGAGCTGACCCAAGTCTCATCACCTCTACCCATACATAATCCCTCCAGGAGGCAGAAAATCAGAATGTGTGAGCAACACCTGAGTTATCAGGTCCATTCCTTTGACATTTCATTAGGTGGAAACAAGACAGAGAAATGATTTGACATCAGTGTTATCCCCAGTTTTCTTTCCTTGGTTTTATCTTTTCAGTGATTTTAATGATTCATGTAGTACACCTCTTTGCAGAAGCTATTACACACAGCATCTTAATTCAACAACCACAATAGTCTCAGGATGCTTATTTCCTTGGTAAGCAGACAGAAATTGTTGTGATTTGCGAGCCCTGTTGTATTTTCCTGTTGATTCTTTTCCAGCTGAGTCATGGGTGCTTCATCCTGGGGTCACTGTAAGCCCCCCAGAAATACATACAAGAACACTACCAGAAATCAAAAGCTTTTGATGCTGTCTTTCATGGAATCCTGCTGGACAAAACGTCCTGCACACAGCTACAGAAGTCCATAATATGTTGGGTGAGTAATTGGCTCAAAGGGTTGTAGTACATGGAGTTAAACCAGTCTGGCAGCCAGTCACCAGTGGGGCTCCCCAGGGTTCAGTTTGGGGCCAGTGCTCTTTAATGTTTTTATAAGTGACCTGGACTTATGAATCAAATGTACCTTAAGTAAGTTTGCAGATAATACTGAACTAGGAAGGACTGTGAAGTCCCTCGAGGATAGAGAGGCTTTACAGAGAGATCTGGATAGGCTAGAGTTGAGGAATCACCAACTGTATGAAAGTTAACAGAGCAAGTGCTGGATTCTCCAACTGGGACAGGGTAATCCTGGTTACACATAGAAAATGGGGGATGAGATGCTGGAGAGCACCCCCTCAGAAAGAGATCTGGGGGTTTGGGCTGGTGGCAAGTTGAATAAGAGTCAGCAGTGCGCCCTGGCAGCCAAAAGGCTGAGGTTACTTGGTGTGTTCAGCTTGGAGAAGAGAAGGCCAAGGGGTTGCCTCATTGCAGTCTACAGCTTCCTCAAGGGGGGCAGCAGAGGGGGAGGTGCTGATCTCCACTCACTGGTGACCGGCATAGGACATGAGGAAACGGAATGAAGCTGTGTCAGGGGAAGTTCAGCCTGACCATTGGAAAAGGTTCTTCACTGAGAGGATGGTCAGAGCCTCCTCAGGGTCATGGCACCAGGACTGTCAGAGTTTCAGATGCATCTGGACGGTGGTCATAGTAATGTATTTTAGTTTTAGATGGTCCTGCAAGGAGCAGAGAGTTGGACTCTGTGATCCTTGTGTGCCTTCCAACTTGAGATATTCTATGATTCTATGAAATAAAGGCACAACAGTAACTTCCCAAAGCAGCAGCGAAGTTGTGATGTTCCCTTGAACCAGACAAGACATATCTCCATAAAGTACAGATGCTGTGACCATCAAGGGATGCCACTTTGGGAAGCCTTTGATGTAGCCACCCTTTCCAAGTGGCACTCAACACACTGCCAACAAACAGGGTTTCAAGGTTTGGTATTGCTACAAGGTTTTAAACCAAAATATGGCAAATATGGGAAATGCCGTATTGGTATGGAAAGCACCTTCTCTAAAAGATACACACCTATTTCACCCCAAAGAGTTTAGGAACCCAATTTCACCACTTTCACTCATGCTAAGCTGTTTCATGGTGACCTCTAAAAATCCCAGGACACTTCAAACAGGAAACCTGCTGTCATTGCTCACAATTAACTTTGCGTACAAGGTGTTTTTTGATTCAACTGATTTAAAAGCAATTTATTTGGCAATCATCTCCCCCTCACTGGGAAGAGGAAGGAGGATTTTGGATTTTCCTCTGCTCTTCCCACCTGGGGTGTTTTGTGCAGCTTCACTTGCAGCAGCCCTGCTTCACTCAGTGAGGGGCTGCCAGACACAGACCACCCTTTCTGGGGGTCTTGGAGGTGCCGAGGAGCCTTCCTCGCAAGTCAGAGGAAGATAAGGTGGAAGAATTGCAGGTGCATCAGGGCTGGGATACAGTGCAGAAGGGAGCCAGTGTGAAGAGTGAGGGCTTTGTTGGAGGCTGAGGACAGCCTGGAGTGCGAGCAGGACACAGCAGACGGCCCTGTCTTGCTGAAATTAAAAATGAATGATTGCTTTGGAACATTCACATGGCAGAAAACAGGTGGGGGGGCTGGGTAGAAAGATAAATATGCATTTACATACACACATGTAAATTTCCTTAGAAGAACATTAAAAATCTGCTTGTCTTAAAAAGTGATGTCTATGGTATCCACACGATATGCATATGATTTATGCAGTAGCCCTGCATAAAAACGAAATCCTCTTTCTTCTTTGGAAGACAAAATTACATTGAAAGAAAGTTAAAAAAATGAGAAATAACACTGGAATGTGTGTTTTGTTTCCTTCCTTCACATTGCAGTTCATAGGCTCAGGTGATTTTTTATGTAGACTTGCAGGTGAATCCATTTAAGTCATACTACAGATAAGTGCAGTCAACTGTATATAAATGATTGTGCTATCAGATACCCATAGATAAAATGGCACTTCAAACAGCTGACACAAGCAAAGAAACATTCAAACAGTGTGTCAATGGGCACGATATAAAAACCTGAACAGATACATGGGTGGAAAGCACATGCCATGTCTTCAAACAGTCACTGCAACTGAGCATGCAGAGGAACATGCAGGTCCCGTGAGACACTGCTTGTACCCCCAGTCAGACATCTACAACGGTGTACATGATCCCTTAAGTGGATCTTTAAGTTAAATGGAAAATATCCCAATTCCCAGGTAAGTATGGCTCAGACATTTTGTCACTTTGATGCATTATGTTATCACTGTCACTTCTGCCAACATGATGACTCTTTACCAGAATCTCAGATATTTTTCTGGAATTGCAAAAAGAAATGGAATCAGACAAACATTTAGGACCACATAAATATAAAAATAAATACCCTGATGCGAAAGTTGTCAGCTCTGTTTCTTTTAAGATCAGGAAGGTATTTCCCACGCATTCTCATTTTTGCTTTTCAATACATTTCTCATAAACTCCTGCTTTATTGAGTAAATATTAACATAAATGCTTTAACTGTTTTTTTTCCTGTAGCTTGCCAGAAGTGAACAGGAGTGGACAGAAAGCTGCTGATCAGCTCACCCCATACAACGTGCGAAGTGTAGAAGGGAGGAACGCTTCAACCTTTTGTCTGAGAAAACTTAATTTCCAGGTTAATTTGCAAATAAAAATGATTTTTGTTGGATCACGACCTACCACCTGCCCAAAGGAAGAAATCTGGAAAAAACTGTGAGTGAGAGGCAAGTCTGTCAGTGGAAGTGTTCCCACTATGAGGATTCTTAATTGCTTTTGACCCTGCTGTGGAAGGTATGGGAAAATTAATTCTCTGAGCAATATTCATCTTGCTGAATGTTTTCCTTTCTTTCTTCACTCATGGTTGTTGTGACCTTTTTGGACTCCAACTGCTAGAGGAGATGTACTGCAACATGCAGAGTACATTATTGTTATCTTGAACATTCTGCAGCTTTCATACCAAATGTTTAGTCTGCTTGGTCAGGATTAAATGTCCTTTGCTTTTGACTTCTGAACATTTCTGGTGCAGACTGCACACCTGGTATGTTGCTGCAGTTTCCCTTTAAAGAAGCACAAAAGCAGTTTTCTCTGCTGAAATGCAGCTCTACAAAGTAGGCTTTTATGAAACCCATTTAAAAAAAAACCATATTGCCAGAAATCAAAGTACAGCTTGCCAAATCCTTCTTTGGGAATACTGGCAAGTTTTCTGCAGTGACACCCTGCTGTGTGCTGTGTGTGGTGGAGGTGGTTATTCACATGACACCAGAAAAAGAGGACTTAGTCCTTGTTTTCCAAAAGGCCCCTAAACACGAGTTCATGGTGGCTCCAAACCCCTGGATCTGGAAAGGAGTCACTGTGGAAAGAGGAGCAGGCAGAACAAGTTCAGGTGCCCCAGAGATTTTCACATGTAGTTTCACGTGCAGTCCTACCCTGCAATAAATCTTCTTGAGAAAAGATATTAGTATCATATTAGCACCATGTATGCAATAAAAACTTAATAGACATAAC